TAAAGAAACTGTTGAGAATCTGTTCAACAACACAGAAAAGGAATTACAGCGAAAGACTACTGGTGAAACATATCAAATCTTGAGATTACTACCTCAAGTATTCAACCACGCATTTTTCAGAGACGTTATTTTCGCCCGGGGAGCTTTCCTGGTCACAATACACTCGAGGAGATCGCTACTCTAAGTATCTTTCTTTCTCTGCGTTTGTTTCCATTGAGACAACACAGAAGCTGATGGCAAAGTATGCAAATCTCACTTATTCCTTTTGCTGGTGTTACTGACTTGATATCGTTAAATAAATTGCAAGAGCTTCTTGTCTAGATCAGCAGTGGGACCAAAAATTCTTGATGGCCTTTCACTAGTCAATCTCAATGGATCCGCTATACAGAATTTGTGCCCCGTTATCCCTATTGAGGAATGCATTGCTGGGAAGTACAGGTAGGAAGAGATTTCCAAAATAAGCCAAGAAGTTTTGACTTTCTAGAACTTACTCTGGACACTGTAACAATGTAATCCACCCTCAGTATGGAGCAATCTATGAGCCATTGTCTAGACTACTTCCACCGGACTATGAAGATAGTAAGTAATGATTGTCAAAATTATCAAAATTAAGGGGTTTCATGTGCACTACTTCTCGATTCTGTCAATTTATAGCCTTTTTACCTCTCCCTAAACTTCCTAAAAAATTTATTTCCAGAAGTCTCTTCTCCCCGCACCTCCAAAACAGACAAACCACTACCATCTGCGGCTGATGTTGCTTCACTTTTCACGTAGAAAATTCTTCTAATTTTCAAACATCTAGCAATTTTATGTCAAATTTTTCTAGACCAGCCCCAAGGGGACATGCAACTTGTTCGATGATCCTTGCCCAGTGGGCTTCATTCATTTACGACGACTTGGCACATGTCGCTAGTAATCGGATAGAGAAAGGTGAGAAAGTTGTAATAGAATTCTATGCAATAGATATTTCAACAATTTCTACCTTCCTTTGGGTTATTCCCGCAAAATTGGTAGCAAGCTCCAAATTTCTGCCAAATCATTCCATAAATGAAATAGAGAAATAGCAAGTACTGAAATTATGTGTTCAAATCTAAAAAGTTAGACATGATTACTGACATATTAACATTGACAAAAAAGATTTCCTCCTTCTTCGCCTTTCAATTATATCTTCATAAAGCTTGGCTCTCCTAATCCTTATCTTTAAGGCAGTTATGGGTCTGTCAAAAATTTGAATTTTCCCCTTCTCCGCATGTTGAATTTCGGGAGCTATTCAGGCCCTAACGTTTACAACCCCTGTATACAATCTATTCCATCATTTATCAAGCTCCCGAGAAGATTTGAACACACCTATAGCTTCCTCCTCTATCATACACATGTTAGCAGTCTACGATCATCTTTGAACATTTCAAAGTCCAAACAAGCAGAAAATGACGCAATAAATTCGTTCTGATTCCTATCTACGGCTGAATAAGCCTGTGGAACTCGTTCACTGCCAGAGAAAAGCATTAAAAGCATGCTTTATCTAGAGGAACTAGAAAACACAAAGCAAATAACTTTCACGATTTGTATAACTACGCATTTTAATACAAGTTACAGAAGGATTTCACGCCAGTGTGAAACAACTTCCTTTACCATGCTGCAATGCATCAGTGGATCATCCGGAATGTTTTCCCATACGTGGCAAAGGAGGAAAATGTAAGTCATAAAAATAATCGAATCAACCATAAGTTAATCTGGATAGTCTATTCTCTGTGCAAAAGAACTGGATTATTTGGGAATTTGTCAAAGCTAATTTAGCGGTAAAGAGAGTGTCCGTGGTAGCCAAATTTCAATGTTCTA